TAAATCAGTAAGTGCCCAGCCACTGACACCTGGAAAAGGGGTTTTTAACTTCTCATTTAGTCAGTTTCCCTCACAGGAGACATAGGAATAACTGTCCCTGGGGGTACTTGCCCCCTCTGCATGGCCTAGTTCAGAAAATCCATGAACATTGAACAGGAAACTGCCCATGAACTCGTGTACATCCAGTCTTTTGGCCTCACCCATTCCATTTGTGAAGTGGGCAGCAAAAGACAGTTCAAGAGCCCGACATGTGGCCAACAGCATCTTCCCAAGGGTTTGCATTTGAAGATGATCTCAGGGCATCCCTGCAGGCCACCTCTCTGACAAAAACTACTTCTTGTCACAGATCCAGAGCTCTGCAAAGGGAGGTTCTGCTGCGGCACAACAACCTGAAGAAGTCTCCTTTCCTGATTATGAATTGCCAAGCACAAGCAGAGGCAGAAGAGGCACTGAGAAAAAATTCACTCAGAAAACAAGCACTGGGAAGAAAAGCAATAGGGAAACCAGCACTGGGACAAAAACCTCAGACCAGCCAGGACCGACATCCACGCTAACAAATGTTTTCCTCACTGATCTCAGTACGTGTCTTGTATTTCCTATCTGGTACAGCAGTCCATGGTATGCACGTCAACTTTAGTTGCACTAAAAGAACAGAGTCTTTGTAGGCCTTGGGTGCTTTGGAGCTGCCTCTCTTGCTGCTGCTGTTGTTGTTACTGTTGTTGTTACTGTTGTTTTTACCAACTGACTACAAAGGGCTCACAGCCCTGGACAGCTCGGCTGCCTTTCTGATCTGCTGGAAGGTGGTATCTCTGTTTCACATGAGCATCTTGCATGTTGTTTCTTTCAGAGGACATTGTTAACGAGAAGAACCCTGCACAGAACTACACTGTCCAGCAGCAAATTGGCCATGGGTAAGTCCAATCTCAGCTACTCCTACAAAGAGAAAGGAATTTAGAAACATTGTGGGCAGCAGAGATCTGCTCTCTGGGCTGGCTTTCACTCCAGGGCCTAAACCTCTTCTCCTTTCCCCACTGCTGCTCTGTTTCTAGGCTTTTTGGAGTGGTTTTTCAAGGAGCTGACATTGCCACAGGAGGACAGGTAAGGCCCAGCACCCACAGCAGATTCTGCAGCTCTCTGTGCTTTCCCCACTTGTTTACTGACTCTGCCAATGCATCAGCTCCTTGGTGGCTCCTTACCCAGCTGCAGTGCTGCCCTTGGGAAGTGCACTTAGATAGGAGTCTGCAAGGGATCTAAAGGCCCTGAGTGCTGCTTATAACCCTGGGCTCATCCATAAAATACCCAGGAATGGGTTATCCCTTTTCAAACCCAGAAAATAATTACCAATATGAACTGGGTTAATAAACCTTCTTTAGAGTAGCAGAATCCAACTTCAAGATGTGAGAAAGTTCAGGAATTGTGAAAACTAAGCCATTGGAAACTAATGGCTCCTTTCTTTTATTTTTTCCTTTGTCTGCAGCATCATTTTTTGGAAAAATCCAAGAGTCTTGCCGAGCTGGCTCCTCTGAGTGATGCAGCCAGGAGACGCACAACATCAGCACCAGAACCTCTGCTGGCCTCTTCTGTTTCTGGACAAGAGAGTAAAGAAGAGCAAGGACAGAAGGAAGTTGTCCAAGCAAAGCCTGAAGGAAAGAAATCAGTAAGTGCCAGATTAGATTAGCAGTGCCTTGGGTGTCATTCAGAGCTGCAAATTCCTGAGCAGACAGTGCTTGCTCTTTGGGACTGAAGATTGTGAGGGCTGGAGGCCT